ATGGAACAAAGCTGTGTCTTGTACTCTTTTTTCTTTGCTCATTTTCAAAAGTTTTCTGTTTTATATTTATGGGGTTTGAGGAAGGTTTTTGTTTACAAACCTAGTTTAAAATTTTAAACCTCAGAGCTGTCTCATTTAACCGTAAACCTCAAGGTTTGAATTTGTAAATCTCTGCTCAAACCCCTTGTTAAAGTTGCTCTTATGTGAGTGGATGAATAGTGAATTAAAGTTGACGTGATATGTAAGAATGATTGATTGAAATTATTTAATTATATATATATTGATAATATTAAAGCAGTCAAGTTAAGGAGCCAACTGTTGACTCCGTTATGGAGCCAACAGCCAATGGGACAGCTCCATGTGGGGCTGTCCCACATTGGAGCCATGTGGGACAGCCCCACATGGAGCTGTTCCATTGGTTATTGGTTCCGTAACGGAGCCAACAGTTAGCTCCTTAGCATTATTGAAACTAGTTTTTGTCCCGTGCATTTGCACGGAAAACTATATGATACATAAAAAAATAATAAAAATTATAAATAATATTAAAAATCATAACAAATTCATTGAAAAAAATTAAGAAAAAAAATATAAATATTCTTAAACACTTCTTTATAAAACAACGTCGTGGTTTTTCTATCGTCAAAATCTCCCTCAACTCAAATCAAAATCTTCAAATCTCACTTACTCGTAACTCTAAAAAGCGCCACGTATAATTGCTCATGACTAAATGCAGAGCTCTTTAGTAGTAAGCCGACGTGCGACAGAGACTGTCTTTAACTCTTATTGATCATGTCATAGCATAGGAAACACTTCTTTATATTGTTTGTCCTTGACTCTTATTGATTGATAGAGATTGTCCTTGCTTCTTAATAAAAAAAAATACCATCTAAATATAAATGAGTAAATATAATATTAATTTTTAATATAAACAAAAAATTTAAAGTAATTGATAATGAGTATAGAATTACCCTTGCGGATTCAAGTTATTTCAACGATGTTCTTTTTATATATCTAAGATTTAATTTTTTTTTTCTGATTTATATGAATATAAGCACATTTGACTAATTTTTATAAAATTTATTGAAAAAAGTTACTATTTTTTTGAAAAACTGATAAGATATTAAGATAATACTGTATTTAACATAAATGTGGAATTAATTAAAATAAATCTTTTTAATTTAGTCATTAACTAATTAAATTTAACTATAAAAAACCTTCTTAAATGTGAGATTAATGAGTAATTAATTAAAAAAAAAGTAACTCCTTTTGGAGGGAAAGTGAAAATATTTTTATTAAATGTTTTATTAAAAGGGATTAGCTAGCAATTATATATATATAGATTATCTATTATCCTTTTCATGATCAAATAAAAGGGTTTATTGCACCAAATCCCCCTGTATTATATGAAATCTGCGCGTTTTTCCCTGGTATTTCAAAAATTGCGTTAGACCCCCTCGTATTTAATGTTTACGTGCAGACTCGCCCCTTTATGTTAACACCGTTACTTTAATACTAACGGCGTTACTTTTTTTGTATAATTTACCATTATACTCTTGCTTTATCAAAGAATTTACGATTATACCCTGCTGTCAATATGTAAATATAAAATTAAAATCTCAAAAGTGGGGATTGAACCCTATACCTTTGGGTTGAAAAAAGCATCTCCCACCAACTGGGCTACTTAACATGTAGTTATAAATGTGATTCTATTTATATATATATTAACGTATATAAAATATATAATAACAATTAAATATAAATAATATATTAATTAAATATAAATAATATATTAATTAAATATAATTAATATATTAATTAAATATATATATATAATTTATTAATAGTATATTGATTAAGTATATATATAATTAATTATAAATAATGTAATAGTTAAGAAATATTTTCTAACTTATAAATAATATAATAATTATGTAATTCGATTATAAATTACTAATATTTAATAATTAAATTAATATATTCTAAATTATAAATAATATAATAATTGAGTAAATATATTCTAAATTACTAATATATAATAATTAAATAAATTTATTTTAAATTATAAATATTCTAAATTATAAATGATATAATAATTAATAAAATAGATTATAAATTTTAAAATAATATAATAATTTAATAAAAAAATTTAAATTATAAATAATATAACAATTAAGAAAAAATATTCTAAAAAATAAATAATATAATGATAGATATAAATTATAAGTAATATAATAATTCTATATATATATATATTATAATAATTGAATAAATAGATTCTTAATTATAAATAATATATTAGAATCTATTTACTCAATTATTATAAAATATAAATATTGAATTATTATATTACTTATAATTTATAATATCATTAAATTATGTATATTTAAGTAATTATATTCTAACTTATAAATATTTATATTAATTGAATAAATTATATTCTAAAATATAAATGATATAGTAATTAAGTAAATATATTTAAAATTATAAATAATACAATAACTAAATAAAGAGGTTCGAAATTATGAATAAGATTAAAAGTTTTATAAAGATTTATATTTATTCATATTTCAAAATAATTAAAATAATCAAAAATTATTTATATTATTTGAAGCTCATAACAAAGAGTATTTTATATTTTAATTAATATTTTTTTGAATTATAAATAACATTTTCTATTTTTTTACATTACTAGAATTTAAAATAAATAAGCTGATAAATAATAAGTATTTAATTTATTTATTACAAACTGAAAATAAGAATTTTATGGAAATAAATAAAGTTTATATATTTTTTAAATATGTAAGAAAATATAAAAACTAAATAAGTGAAATAAAAACAAATCATATATTATATATAGAAGTATCATTTTATTTGATAATAAATAAATTTAATTTAATTTAATTTATTATTTTATTATAAGTAATTTTATTTTATTTTGTTTATATATATTATCTAACTACATTAATAAAAAAACATATATTTATATTTATATTTATTTTTTTATTTTATTTAAATTAAATTATCATTAATTTTTATATTAAATAGTAATATATTCATTTATTATTTTCCAACTTCACATTTAATATAATTTTTTATTATTTTATTTCAATTAAATTTTATTATAATGATTTAGTTTGTGATTATATTATTTTTTATTTTTGTTTGATTAAGTTTTCCTCTTGTTCTTGTTGCTTTAAATAAATGTGTGTTAATTTTGTACAATATAATGATAGTGGCACAGTGGTTTAAAGTCTTGGCTAGTGATGTTTTGACCCAAGTTCGAAACCTACGAGGAGCAGCCAAGCATCAATTTTTTGCCCAACAAGCAAGGGGCAAAATAGTAAATTTCAATTTTAAAATAAAAAATATATGAAAAAATTGAATAATTGCCGCATTACATGACTACTGTGTGCTGCACGCGCTGTGAAGTTGGACGGAGAGGGGGGATTCGTGCAAAAGTTAGTTAATACAAGAGGGTCTGACGCAATTTTTGAAATAACAGGGAAAAACGCGCAGATTTTATATAATACAGGAGGATTTGGTGCAATAAACCCTCAAATAAAATAGAAAATATGAAAATACAAACTATAAAATACTAAATTTCAAATCAACATTGTGCTGGTTGATGTATAAGACCGTCTCCAACCGTACTGCAAATCTCAAAATTTGCAGTACAAATCTCTCCAACCGAACTGCATATCCGATCCCATTTTGCGTTTGCCCTCTTCTCTCTCCTCTGTTCAACGCAATTTTGCGTCCAACGCAAAAATATGCGTTTCATCTTTTTTAATTTCATTTGAGTCCTTCAATTTTGTTTTTTATTTTCAATTGACCCCTCTCTTTAATAATTGATAAATTCAACCAATTTTTAATATTTGTAATTGAAAATGCTAAGATAAAATGAATTGGAAAAATAAGTTTACAAAATACTATTTTTTTTTTATTTCATGGATATAAAATAATGAATATCATATTATTTTATATTTGTTCACAATATCACAATATCCCAATATACCCCACCTATTATATATATTGTATATAATAATTATGTTTATCTTTAATAAGTTAAATTTTACACATTGTAGTAATTATATATATATATATATATATATTTAGTAATTTATGTTAAGTTAAATATTGTTTTATTCGTTTTTATTATATATTGTTAGTGTTTTTTTTAGAAAAAAAAATTTACAAACCATATTAATTTTAAAGAGACTACAAATTTAACAAATAAAAAAGACATTAATATTACCAAATTAGTTATAATATTGAAAGACTATCTATGTTTACTTGATTGTTGTAATTTTTAATTTCTCATGTTGTATGTTGTAATTTTTAATTTTATTTTGTGTGTTGTAATTTTTAATTTCTCATCTGGTACGTTGTAATTTTTTAATTTTATCTTGTGTGTTGTAATTTTTAATTTATCATCTTGTGCGTTGTAATTTTTAATATTTTGTGTGTTGTAATTTTTAAAATTTAATTTTAATGACTATTTATTTCTCCAATTTTATTATGTATATATATGATTATTACTTTATAATTAGTTTATTACATAAAGTCTAAATTAAATTAAAAATAATAGTGTGGTTTAATTTGTAAAATTGTAAAATATGTGGGTAGTATTGAAAAGTTATAAAAATTGATATAAAAGAGAATATTTTTTTGGGTTGGAGAATGGATTTTTCGGTTGGAGATGAATTACTGCAAAATGGGATAAATACTGTAAAATGGGTTTGAGTATGGGGTATTCGGTTGGAGATGGCCTAATTATGCCCAACCAGTGGAAATATATATCACGATTCACAGACCATGAGTTCATGACCTCAACTTATATTTTCACACACATCGATATCTGTGCGACTATCTATCACAAAAAAAAGCGTGCAATTCAATACTCAAAAGGCTCCTTCTCTTGAATTAAAACCAAAATCAAATTCAAACAAAAACAATAAAATAATATTCAAAGCCCAAATGGCCATCTCCCTTTCTTCCTCTTATCTCCTCACATTATTCCTCACAATCACCGCCGCCGTCCTTCGCCTCCCTACTCCCACCCACTCCGCCACCCACCACTCAGACGTACAACTCCTGAAGCAGCTCAAACGTACAATCGCCCCAAGCACAATTCCCCCTGGCTCCTGCATCGACTCATGGGACTTCACCCTCGACCCCTGCGACAACCTCTTTTCCGACAAATTCACCTGCGGTCTCCGCTGCAACTCCTCCTCCGCCGCCGCCGCCGCCCGCGTCACTGAGCTGTCCCTCGACCCCGCCGGCTACTCCGGCTCCCTCGCCGCCGTCCCCTGGGCCGCCGCTCCCTACCTCCAGATCCTCGACCTGTCCGACAACAACTTCTCGGGTCCCATACCCGATTCGCTTTCTGCCCTGACCCGGCTCAGGCGGCTCGGCCTGTCCGGAAACTCGCTCTCCGGCCCGATCCCTGACTCGCTCGGCTCGCTCGCGGGGCTCGAGGAGATGTGCCTTGACCGAAATAATCTCACAGGGACCGTCCCCTCGAGCCTCAACGGTCTCGCTAATTTGAAAAGGCTCGAGATCCAAGGGAACCGACTCGGGGCCGAGTTTCCCGATCTGAGTCGACTCGGTGAACTGAGTTTCCTTGACGCCAGCGACAACGCCATTTCGGGAGGGATTCCGGCGGCGCTGCCGCCGTCCCTCGTCGAGATAGCAATGAGGAATAATCAGTTGCAGGGGAATATTCCGGCGGGCTTGGTGGCTAACTCAGCTTTCCTTCAGGTGACCGTAATAAATATAAAATAATTAATTCTCTTCAGTTCCCAAATAATATTTAAATTGAATAAATGTTTTTGGAAGTTAATAATGTCCGTGAATGTGAGTGTGTCTGTGTTCCCATTATTCTCAATTTTGTTAAATACAACATAGCTCTTCCAATATTTTCTTCGTTGATGATATTTTCCTATCAAAAGACCTTATAAGCAAAATCGATCCAAAATCAAAAAGCGAGTTGGATTGCGCAATTCAAAGCAGTTCAATTAAGTTAGTTTAGCATAGAAAATTTCAGTTTGGTTTTTATATCTTGTAATGTGGTTCGGTTATTTTTTCACAAGTTCGATTTTCAATAACTTTTTCGATTCCGTATGGTTTTGTGCGAACTATATCCAAATTCATAGAAATATCGAAAAATTGGGTCGAATCGAACCTTTTATATTCAATACGGTTTTGCACGAAGTGAACCCAAATGCATAGAAAAAGTGAGTCGAAACATACAATTTAGTGCAGTGTAGTTTAATTATCATCCCAACATGCATCAGGATTTGAACTTGTAAATTTGAAATCTATGAATTTCAAATTTCCCAGTAAATCTTTCAATCCAAACTTAGCCTTAGTGTACAAAACCTGAACTTGTATTTGGATGTGTGTGTCGCACTCCGGTTCGGTGCATTTTGATCAGAAAATCTTACAATTTATATTTTTGAACCCAAATGCATAGAAAAATCGAGTCGAAACGTACAAATTGGTGCGATTTTGCACCAAATCGCAGCATTGCTCACCCCTAATCAAATTAAAAAATTTATAGCAATTTATTTTTTGAACAAAAATCTGGATAATAGAAGAATATTTTTGCAACCCAGATTGATATAATCAATGACATAAATTTCAATATAACTAATAAAGGGGTCTCTCATCTGTTTGGCTCGTCTATTTGGTTGTTTCGAGATGTAATTATGTATTTTTCTTTTATTTAAGTTCTATCGTTTCACAAAAAAAAAATAAAAAAATAAAAATAACAATTTCTAATTCTATAATATTCTTGGCAGGTGATGGACTTGAGCCACAACAAACTCGCCGGGTCAATCCCTGCGAGTTTGTTCGCCCACCCGTCTCTAGAGCAACTAACATTATCATATAACCAATTTGGGTCGATCGAAACACCTGGCGACTCGGTTTTAGGCAGTCAACTCATATCCGTTGACCTAAGCAACAACCAAATTCACGGGTTTTTACCCGGGTTCATGGGTCAAATGACCCGTCTCTCGGCTTTATCATTGGAGAATAATCAGTTTTCGGGTTTGATCCCAACCCAGTACGTGTTGAAGGTGTTGGGCCATGGGGCGGCCCAATTCGAGAGGTTGTTGTTGGGTGGGAATTATTTGTACGGGCCGATACCGGGTGAGTTTCTGGGCCTGAAAGCGGGCTCGGTAATGGTCCAGCTGGGGGACAATTGCCTGTACCGGTGTCCGGTGAGGTGGTTCTTCTGTGAGGGTGGGGAACAGAAGTCATTGAATGAGTGTAGAGCTTTTGGCCCAATCATTCCTTGAATGTGTAGTGTTTGTGTGTGTGTGGTAGTTTGGTGTCATTTATGGTTGTGTACAATGGTAAATTGGTAATAAATTAATAATAATAATAATACCACCT